GGAAGAGGGCGATATGACAGGGTAACTGGTGTGAGGGTGGGGCAGAGGGGTCAGCATTAGATACTGTGGTCTAGCAGAGCGTCTCTGAAGACGTGACATTTGCGTTGAGACCCAAGTTAGGAGGAGGGTATGGGAAGATATGGGGAGAGAGTGGTCCAGGCAGCGGGAACAACCAGTGCGAAGGCCCCGGAACAGAAATCAGCTGGGAGTATCGGCAGGGAACAGAAAGAAAGCTAGTGTGGCTGGAGTATGGTAAGAAAGGGAAAGAGTGGTAGGAGATGAGGTCGGAGAGTCGGGGTTTCCTCACGTAGAGCTTGTAGGTCATAGAAAGGAATGTGGAGTTTTTTCTAAGTACAGTGGAAATCTTTTGGTTTTAAGAAGAGGAGTGACATGTAGGGTAGAGAATAGATGGAGATGGCGGCTGCAAAAGTCTAAGAATTGGCTGGGCACGGTGGTTCTCGCCTGTAATTCCAGCACTTTGGGAGGCTGAGGCTGGCAGATGGCTTGAGCTCAGCACTTCAAGACCAACCTGGCCAACATGGTGAAACCCTGTCTCTCCAAAAAATTAGGCCTGGCGCAGTGGCTCACGCTTGTAACCCCAACACTTTGGAAGGCCGAGGCGGGAGGATCACTTGAGGCCAGGAGTTCAAGACCAGCCTGGCCAACGTGGTGAAACCCCATCTCTACTAAAAATACAAAAAATAGGTCTGGTGGCAGGTGCCTGTAATTCCAGCTACTTAGGAGACTGAGGCAGGAGAATCGCTTGAAACTGGGAAGCGAAGGTTGCCATGAGCCAAGATCATGCCACGAGACTCCATCTCAAAAACAAACAACAAAAAAATTAGCCAGGTGTGGTGGGGAGAGAGGGAAGAATAGGGACAAAAGGGAATACATAAATAAATACAAAGGAGAAAAGGCCCTGCATGGACCAATTAAATGTGTCATAAACTCAGGAGTGTTCATGGGGGGACTACATGGTGCACTTGTAGTGCCAGCTTCTTGGGGTGGGGGGCTGAGGTGAGAGGATCACTTGAGCCCAGGAGGTCGAGGCTGCAGCGAGCCCTAATTGTACCACAGCACTCTGGCCTGGGCAACAGATTGAGACCCTGTCTCTCTCTCTCTCTCTTTTTTTTTTTTTTTTTTTTAATTTTTAAGCAACCCTAGTAACTGAAGAGACCCTGCCTCAAAAAAAAAAAAAAAAAAAGCATTAAGAATTGAGTCAATGGAGGTTGTCTAATCTTTGTCAGGCAAAAGGGACCTTTGTGATTTGCTCAAACTTCTTTTCTGCCTGCACAGGAGCCACTTGTTTCAGGATGCCAAATACTCCAGGATAAACCTCCATGCATGCCATCATGGAGATTTAATATTTCACTCATGTCTCTTTCTACCCACTCCTACACGTTTGAGCTCAGGCTCTCTAGGGCGAAGCTATGAAATGGATGTGTCATTTAATCAGCAAATGTGTTGTTGTTGTTGTTGTTGTTGTTGTTGTTTTTGAGACGGAATTTTTGCTCTTGTTGCCCAGGCTGGAGTGCAATGATGTGGTCTTGGCTCCCTGCAACCTCCACCTCCCCGTTCAAGCGATTGTCCTGCCTCAGCCACCTGAGTAGCTGGGATTACAAGCGCGCGCCATCACACCTGGGTAATTTTTGTATTTTTAGTAGAAACGAGGTTTCACCATGTTGCTCAGGCTGGTCTCAAACTCTTGACCTCAGGTGAGCCACCTGCCTCAGCCTCCCAAAGTGCTGGAATTACAAGCATGAGCCACTGCACCCGGCCAATCAACAAATTTTATTTTTTTTTGAGATGGAGTCTCGCACTGTCTTCCAGGCTGGAGTGCAGTGGCGTGATCTCGGCTCACTGCAAGCTCTGCCTCCAGGGTTCACGCCATTCTCCTGCTCCATCCAGCCTCCCGAGTAGCTGGGACTACAGGCGCCCGCCACCTCGCCTGGCTAATTTTTTGTATTTTTTTAGTAGAGATGGGGTTTCACTGTGTTAGCCAGGATGGTCTCGATCTCCTGACCTCATGATCTGCCCGCCTTGGCATCCCAAAGTGTTGGGATTACAGGCGTGAGCCACCGCGCCCAGCCCCAATCAACAGATGTTTACTGAGCATCTGCCATGGACCAGGCCCTGGTCTGGGCACCGAGCGGGAGAATGGACAAGACTGCACTCCAGCCATTGAGCAGCTCACAGACCAATGGGGGAGGCCGACGTGGACAGGCCGCTACTGTGCTGCAGTGGTTGAGGACTCAGATGGGTGCGGTATGGCCACTCCTGCCAGGTTATGAAGCAGAAAAAGAGGCAGGGAGATTTCACTGAGGGCTCAAGGGAGGTGATAATTTAACTACAGCTTACGTACTCTATACAAAGAAGTGCAGAGGGCGCTCTAAAAATAGGAACAACTTGTGCAAAGGAAGCAAATATGTAATTGCAAAGGGCTTATATGTCAACCATGGCAGTGTTGGGCACAAGGTAACAGGATCTGGTGTGTGTTTCGGAGGGTCATCCTGGTGGATAATTTCTGTATATGTGAGACCTTGGGGAGGAAGGCTTAGGACCAGTGGACATGAAATTTCAATCATCAGTACTTCTATTAATCATGAAGTTTGTAAAGACAAACACAATTCCTTGTGCCTGGTGCAGATGACTGACTATGATTCAGGCGGAGTGGCTTGCTCTGGACAGACTGAATTAACTTCCTGGATTTTTTGGATAGAATACCCGCAAACAGTTCTGTTTTCTCAGTTCACTTATTTTATTTTTAAAAATTTGGCCAGGTGATTTGGCTCACACGTGTAATCCCAGCGCTTTGGGAGGCCGAGGCAGGTGGATCACTTGAGGCTAGGAGTTTGAGACCAGCCTGGCCCAAATGGCGAAACCCCATCTTTACTAAAAATACAAAAATGAAAAAAAAAAAATGAGCCAGGTGTGGTGGCGCACCTGTAATTCCAGCTACTTGGGAAACCAAGGCATGAGAATTGCTTGAACCCGGGAGGTGGAGGTTGCCAGTGAGCCAAGATAGTGCCACTGTACTCCAGCCTGGGCAACAGAGCAAGACCGTCTCCAAATAACACAAACAAAAAAAGTACTGAGTTAATCACACTCCTCAGGGTGACACTTACTGGTCCATGCAGGGCCTCTTTCTCCTTTGTATTTATATTCCCTTTTGTCCCTATTCTTCCCCCATCTTCTCACCACAGGAAACCATTCTGATGTGTTTGGTGTATATCTTCTTTTTGTTTTTTTTGAGACAGGGTCTCACTCTGTTGCTCAGGCTGGAGTGCAGTGGCATAATCATGACTCACTGCAGCCTTGATGTCCCGGGCTCAAGCAATCCTCCCTCCCACCTCAGCCTTCTGAGTAGCTGGGACCACAGGCATGTGCCACCATGCCCAGGTAAATCTGCCATGTTGCCCAAACTAGTCTCGAACTCCTGAGCTTAGCAGTCTGCCTGCCTTGACCTCCCAAAATGCTGAGATTACAGATGTGAGCCACTGCTCCTGGCCTATATGCATGCATATATATATGTAATTTTTTTTTTTTTTTTTTTTGAGACGGAGTCCTGCTGTCTCCTAGGCTGGAGTGCAGTGGTGCAATCTCGGCTCACTGAAAGCTCCGCCTCCCGGGTTCACATCACTCTCCTGCCTCAGCCTCCCAAGTAGCGGGGACTACAGGAGCCCGCCACCACACCCGGCTAATTTTTTGTATTTTTTTAGTAGAGACGGGGTTTCAGCGTGTTAGCCAGGATGGTCTCGATCTCCTGACCTCGTGATCCTCCCGTCTCAACCTCCCAAAGTGCTAGGATTACAGACGTGAGCCACCATGCCCGGCCGCATATATTTTTAATTTACATAAATGGATTCTGCCTAGACCTCATTTTTTTCCACCTCAGTGCCATGTGTGGATCTTACTGATGTTGCTCTGGGTATATTTGGGACGCACTTTCTAAATGTTCCACAGGTTTCCATAGATGCATCCCCCACATTTTACTTACTTACTTGATTCCTCTAGTGATGAGGTCCCTAGATTGTTTTCTACTCCTTGCCACAATGCAATCCTGTACCATCTCCTTCCTCAACTTTGTAAATACAATTTTATTGCTTCTCATAAAGGCAATTTTATTGCCTTTTGGCTAAGATCAAGTGTAGTAAATACAATTTCAAGATGCTGATTTGAGCTTGCCTTTGATAAGCCTGGTAGCTCTTGGGGTCTGACAGGCCGGATTGTTTGACCTTCATGAGGTCCTGGCTTTTTTGAGCCATGTTTTTGATAAATATATCAAAATGTTTGATATGTCTATTTTTGAAAAATTGTGATTCTAGTTCCCAGACACTCTTGGCCAACATTCTAGTGTCCTGCCATCTTCCCTAGTTGATCATTCTCATGAGCTCTGTGGTTAATTTTCTGTTTCTCATCGTCATTAATGGTTGCTGTACACTCATTCCAACACAGATATTTGCTGCTTTCCTTTCCTGGTGAAACAGTGGCCTGTGAAGCTGGTCCTGGGAGTGCCTGTGATGTGAAGTACTTAGAGAAGGACTCCCAGGTCAGAGCCAGACTGTCTGGCTTCAGTTCCCAGCTCCTCCACTTCCCAGATGCCTGACCTTGGGCAACTGATTTAATCTTTGTGTCTCATTTTCTCGTCTGCAAAGTGGGTCTAATCATCGTACCTACCTCAGAGTGTTTTCATGAGCATTAGGTAAACGAATTAATGTATGCAGTCATTAGAGCAGTGCCTGGCACAGAACAGGCTCCTATTTGGAATGTCAGCTGTTAACAATAGCAATAATAATAATTACATCATTTCAGATAGGAGACCCTGTTATATTTTGCCATAATGGATCACATCCAGTTGCAGGATGTTTGTACAGAGGGGATGGGGCGGGGGAGGTGGCTTAGCTTCTGGACTCCGTGACTATAGATTCCAGTGTAATAGCATTCGCTGTAAGGAAAGAGGGAATAAACACAGCCCCCAAGGCCCTGGGTGCCATTTCACTGTCACTTGTTCCCTGTCAGGTTGGGTGACAGTGGCTACAGATGGGCCAAGGTGCTGAGGCAGGGACTCATGCTGGTGGGAATGAGTGAAGAGAGCCTGTGAAACTGGGAAGATCTTGGTGGTCACCTTGGACATAAGATTCTCTTTCTCTTTCTGATGTTCCTCCGTACCCTTCTTGAGAATGGGCAATGGGCTAGATTTGAATCTTTCAGAGGGAAATGTGACAGAACCCTCTCATTTCAAATCTCATAGATGGAAGGATGGGGAAGGAAATCAGCTGTGTCACAGACATTCTGAGATTTGCCCACATGTTCAGTGTCAAAGGCTGCTCTGAAATGGAAAGGAGCAGTGGCCCAGGGTAGAAAGGACAAGGAAGCCCCAGTGGTAGGGAGAGGAGACAGGACAAGAAAAGTCAACTTTCTTTCAATGGTCTAATGAGGAGGGAAGGTGGTATTGCAGCAAGAGAGGTTCTGGTCTGGTTGGGGAGGCAGGCCCAGTGACCAAAACTGAAATAGAAGGGTGCAAAGTGAGAGTAGAGGGAGCTAGGTGGGCACAGGCTAGAGACAGCTGCTAAAGATGCTGATGTCTGAGCTAACTCAGAAGTGATGGGCCAGCCTCTCAAGTAGTCGAGGAGGTAAGGGTGATGGAGAGCAGGCCAGGTGAGGAAGCAGCATGTACCAGGGCACGGGGCTATGAGAGAGCAAGGGTTCTGTGCCTGTCTTCAGGTGCGCAGCGGGTGAGGGTGAGGCAGGGGTGGTAGGCAAGCCCGTCAGGCCGGCATGGTTGGCAGTTATTCCCCAAGCTGTGTTTCCAAATATCAGCCACTCAAGGACGGCCTTTATGGCTTATGTTACTGTAGTACATGGAAAAGCAGTTCCTTTAACTGTAAGAATGTGGCCATAATGACTCTACGAAAACACATGGGCCAGGCATGGTGGCTCATGTCTATAATCCTGGCGCTTTGAGAGGCCAAGGCAGGAAGATTGTTTGAGCCCCAGGAGTTGGAGACCAACCGGGGCAACACAGGGAGACCCCGTCTCTACAAAAAAAAATGTTTAATTAGACTGGTGTGGAAGCACATTCCTGTGGTCCCAGCTAGTCAGGAGGCTAAAGTGGGAGAATCCCTTGGGCCTGGGGGGTCAAGGTTGCCATGAGCTGAGATAGTGCCACTGCAGTCTAGCCAGGGCAACAGAACAAGAGCCTGTCTCAAAAAAAGAAAATACGTGTAATATGACGTTATGCAGTATGTGGATTTCTAGTTAGATAGTATTGCCAGCTAAGGGCTCTGTGAGGCCTGCTCTCTATTCTGATTTAAAAGGGAATGAACAAAGATTAAGGCATGAAAAGAGTTGAAAATGGAATAATTTTCTCATCATGATTCAGAAAAACCCCGTCCTCACACCAGCCTGCATCCTCCACTGGAGTGAGGAGATGGGATGTTACCAAAACCTATGTTTTGGTAAGCAGGGAGCATTGATACATGATGTGGGAATGGTGAGAGGGATCTGAAGAGGTGGTCTGAGCACCCTGCCTGCCATGCCACCGTGGCCCAGATGGGGCCTGACCCAGCTGACCCTTCCCAGGCTGAGGCCACCATGGAGCAGTGTGCGTGCGTGGAGAGAGAGCTGGACAAGGTCCTGCAGAAGTTCCTGACCTACGGGCAGCACTGCGAGCAGAGCCTGGAGGAGCTGCTGCACTACGTGGGCCAGCTGCGGGCTGAGCTGGCCAGTGCAGGTGGGTGGCCACCCTTGCAAGTGCCCTGCGACAGCCTCCCTGAGGACATGGGAGACCCGAAGCTACTGAGTGACAGGGTTCCGGAAGGACGATGATGAGGATATTGGTACCAGCATCTCTAGGCCTCCTTGAAACCGGGTAATGACAGTCTCTGAACTATTTCAAAAAGCCCAACAGAAATGATTAATTTACCTGAGATGATTCCCATTTACATTTTGTTTTCAACTTACTTTTCTATTTTTAACTTTTTTCTTTTCATTTTATATATATATATATACACACACACACATATATATATATATATATATTTTTTTTTTTTTTGTGGAGACAATGTCTATGTTGCCTAGGCTGGTCTTGAACTCCTAGGGGCTCAAGTGATCCTCCTGCCTCAGCCTCCCTAAGTGCTGGGATTATATGCGTGAGCCACCATGCCTGGTCTATTTTTAGCTTTTAAGATTTTAAAGATAATTTTAAATTTAGAGACCAGTTCCAAGAATAGTATAAAGAACTGATATATACCCTTTACTTGGATTCACCACCTGCTCAGATGTTGCCATATTTGCCGTTATCATTACTTTTTAACCATTTGAAACTAAGTTGTAGATAACATAGCCCCAAGCCTTCAGTGTGTATTTCCTAAAATCAAGGGCATTCTCTTGCATAAAAACAGCATACTTATTAGAACCCAGAAATTGCCAGGCACGGTGGCTCATGCCTGTAATCCCAGCACTTCGGGAGCCCAAGGCGGACAGATCACCTGAGGTTAGGAGTTTAAGACCAGCCTGACCAACATGGCAAAACCCCTTCTCTACTAAAAATACAAAACTTAGCTGGGCGTGGTGGTGGGCTGCAGTGAGCAGAGGTCACGCCACTGCACTCCAACCTGGCCAACAGAGCGAGACTCCATCTCAAAAAAACAAAATAAATAAATAAATAAATCCAAGAAATGAAACATTGATATAATATTACCTAGTAACTATACTTCACATTTCTTTCTTTCTTTCTGTTTTTTTTTTGAGATGGAGTCTCACTGTTGCTCAGGCTGGAGCGCAGTGGTGTGATCTCACCTCAGCTGCAACCTCCACCTCCCGGGTTCAAGCGATTCTCGGCCTCAGCTTCCCGAGTAGCTGGGATTAAAGGCGCATGCCACCACCTGCAGCTGATTTTTGTATTTTTTAGTACAGACATGTTGGCTAGGCTGGTCTTGAACTTCTGACCTCAAGTGATCTGCCTGCCTCAGTCTCCCAAAGTGCTAGGATTACAGGTGTGAGCCACCACACCCAGCCAATGTAGTTCACATTTCAATTTTGCCATTGTTCGAGGAATTTTTTTTTTTTTTTTTTTGGAAACAGAGTTTTGCTCTCATTGCCCAGGCTGGAGTGCAATGGTGCAATCTTTGCTCACTGTAACCTCTGCCTCCCAGGTTCAAGGGATTCTCCTGCTTCAGCCTCCCAAGTTGCTGGGATTACAGGCCCGTACCACCATGCCTGGCTAATTTTTTTTTTTTTTGTATTTTTAGTAGAGATGGGGTTTTGCCACGTTGGCCAGGCTGGTCTCAAACTCCTGACCTCAGGTGATCCACCTGCCATGGCCTCCCAAAGTGCTGGGATTACAGGTGTGAGCCACCATGCCTGGCTGTCCCAGGAATTTTCATAAAGCATTTTGATTTCCAGTCCAGGAACCAATCCAAGATCACACACTTCATTTCGTTTCTCCTGTCTAATCTTTAGTTTTTTTAATCTGGGACATTTCTTCTGTCTTCCTTTATCTTTCATGACATTGGTATTTTTGAAGCATTAAAGCCAATTTTGCAGAACATCTCTCAATTTGGAGTTGTCTGATGTTTTCTCATTACTTAGGTTTTGCATTTTTGGCAGGAGTACTTCAGAAGTGATTTGTTTCTCAGTGCATCACATTGGAAGACACAAGATGTTGGTTTATTGCATTATTGCTGTTGTTCACTTTTATTTTGGAGACAGGGTCTCACTTTGTTGCCCATGCTGGAGTGCAGTGGCATGATCTTGGCTCACTGCAGCCTTGACCTCCTGGGCTCAAGTGATCCTACCACTTCAGCCTCAGGAGTAGCTGGGACCACAGCAATACACTACCACGCCCAGCTAATTTTTTTTTTATTGTAGAGATGGCGTCTCCCAGGGTGGTGTTGAACTCCTGGGTTCAAGTGATCCTCCTGTGTAGCCTCCCAAAGTGCTGGGATTATGATCCACTGCACCTGGCCTGATCTTCACTTTGATCACTTAGTTAAGATGGTATCTGCTAAGTTTTTCCACTGTAAAGTTCCTAATTTTTCTTTGTAATCACTAAGTAGTTTGTGGGCTGTAATCCTAGCACTTTGGGAGGCTGAGGCGGGCAGATCACTCGAGCCCAGGAGGTCAAGACCAGCCTGGTCAACATGGCAAAACCAATTAGCCAGGCATGGTGGCACATGCCTGTAGTCCCAGCTACTTGGCAGGCTGAGGCATGAGAATCGCTTGAACCCAGGAGGCAGAGGTTGCAGTGAGCCAAGATTGCACCACCGCACTCCAGCATGGGTGACAGAACGAGACTCTGTCTCAAAAAAAAAAAAAAAAAAAAAAACCACAACCAGTGGTATGGGGGAGATACTTTGATACCCTATAAATGTCCTGCTCTTTACCAAATTTCGGCCTCTACTAGTTTTACTATCCATTAATGATTGTTTTGTGAATTATTACTAAGCTGTCTGCAACATGGTGATTTTTCCTGCTTTGTCATTCTTTATACATTTATTAGTTGGCATTCAACTGTAAAGCTTTCCCTTCTCCTTTCATTATTATCACTTCACACTCATATTCTTATTGTATTCAATAGGTTATAATCCATTACGGTTATTTAATGTAATGTTCAAATTGTCTTAGGTCTGACCAGCGGGAGTCCCTGGTTCCTATGTCTTTTAAAAACTGAGCTACAATTCACTTACCATTAAACTCACTCTTTTAAAGTACAACTCTGGCCGGGTGCAGTGGCTCATGCCTGTAATCGCAGCGCTTTGGGAGGCTAAGGCAGGTGGATCACCTGAGGTCAGGAGTTTGAGACCAGCCTGGCCAACATGATGAAACCCTGTCTCTTACTAAAAATACAAAAATTAGCTGGGCGTGGTGTCGCATACCTGTAATCCCAGCTACTCGAGAGGCTGAGGCAGGAGAATCGCTTGAACTCGAGAGGTAGAGGTTGCAGTGAGCCAAGATTGCGCCAAGGCTGGACTGCACTCCAGCCTGAGCGACAGAGCAAGACTCTGTATCCAAATAAATAAATAAAGTACAACTCTGGATGGGCATGGTGGCTCATGTCTGTAGTCCCGGCACTTTGGGAAGCTGAGGCAGGTAGATCACTTGAGTCCAGGAGTTCGAGACCAGTCTGGGTAACATGGTAACTCCATCTACCAAAAATACAAGTATTAGCCAGTCTCATAACCCGGTCTTAAAATAAATACATACATACATACATAGATGAAAATCTTAAATAAATACATACATACATAGATGAAAATCTTAAATAAATACATACATACATACATAGATGAAAATCTTAAATACATACATACATAGATGAAAATCTTAAATAAATACATACATACATACATAGATGGAAATCTTTAAATACATACATAGATGAAAATCTTAAAATAAATAAATACATACATACATAGATGAAAATCTTAAATAAATACATACATACATAGATGAAAATCTTACATACATACATACATAGATGGAAATCTTAAAATAAATACATACATACATAGATGGAAATCTTAAATACATACATACATAGATGGAAATCTTAAAATAAATACATACATACATAGATGGAAATCTTAAAATAAATACATACATACATAGATGGAAATCTTAAATACATACATACATAGATGGAAATCTTAAATACATGCATACATACATAGACGGAAATCTTAAAATAAATACATACATACATACATAGATGGAAATCTTAAAATAAATACATACATACATACATACATAGATGGAAATCTTAAAATAAATACATACATACATAGATGGAAATCTTAAAATAAATACATACATACATAGATGGAAATCTTAAAATAAATACATACATACATAGATGGAAATCTTAAAATACATACATACATACATAGATGGAAATCTTAAAATAAATACATACATACATAGATGGAAATCTTAAAATAAATACATACATACATACATAGATGGAAATCTTAAAATAAATACATACATACATACATAGATGGAAATTTAAAAAATAAAGTACAACTCAGTGGTTTTCAGCATATTTACAGAATTGTACAATCTTCACCACTATCTAATTTCAGAACATTTTCATCATCCCCAGAAGAAACCTAACCCATCTCTCCATTCCTCCCTCTCCCTAGCCTCTGGCAATCACTAATCCCTTTTTTGTCTCTATAGATCTGCCTATTTTGGACAGTTCATATAAAAGGAATCATATCACATGTAGCCTTTTGTGTCTGGCTTCTTTGATTAATGTGACGTTTTCAAGGCTTATCTGTGTTGTAGCCTGTATCAGCACTTCATTCCTTTCTATGGCTGAATGACAGTCCATTGTATGGATGTGCCATATTCTTCCACTGATTGATGGACATTTGGGTTGTTTCCACCTTTGGGCTATTATAAATATCGCTGCTATGAATATTCACTTACAAGTGTTTGTGTGGACATATGTTTTTATTTATTTTGGTGTATACTTAGGAGTGGAATTGCTGGATCCTATGGTAACTCTATGTTTAACTTCACAGTTAAACAGAATCCTATGCATGCTGTAGTCCGTGAGTTAAAATAAACACTTGGCCCATAGTAAGTGCCAAATCATCTTCATTTCACTATAATTTTACAGATGAGGAAATGAAGGCTCCCAGAGGTGAACTGGCTTTTCCCATTTGACCAGTTCCAAGTCAGACAGTTAAAAAGTGGCAAGACCTGAAAGAAAAGCTAGTTCTTTCACCCTGGCATTTAGGGCTGCCTCCTGGGCCACAGGGCTGGCATTTAGAATAGAGGAGGCAGAGCTAAGGTCTGCTGCCAAGGCAGGTGCCCCAGTCTGTCTCCTCTGTGTCCTTATTCCACTTTCTCTGCAGCCCTCCAGGGGACCCCTCTCTCAGCCACCCTCTCTCTGGTGATGTCACAATGCTGCCGGAAGATCAAAGATACAGTGCAGAAACTGGCTTCGGACCATAAGGACATTCACAGCAGTGTATCCCGAGTGGGCAAAGCCATTGACAGGGTGAGCACGTGGCTGGCTCCAGGCCTGGGCTGGGAGTACCCTGAAGCTGGGATGTACAAGGACTCGAAGGAGAGCCAGCAAGAGTGCCCGCATCACCAGGCCCTGTCTCTCCTCCTTTGTCAGAACTTCGACTCTGAGATCTGTGGTGTTGTGTCAGATGCGGTGTGGGACGCGCGGGAACAGCAGCAGCAGATCCTGCAGATGGCCATCGTGGAACACCTGTACCAGCAGGGCATGCTCAGCGTGGCCGAGGAGCTGTGCCAGGTACAGCCGGGCCGGACAGGTGCTGACAACCTGCCTGCTCTGCCTTTCACCTGCTAGTTTCAGTATATGAAGTCCCTGCCATTCTTCAATTCCGTTTATTTCCTAAAGGAAATCAGCGCCTCTGCCGGAAGTAGAAGGTAGCTTTAAAAACGTATATGATGAAAAGAGAAGTTACTCATTTCTAGTTAGAGTTGGTTGCCAGCCAGGGTTCAGAGCTGAGGCCTCATATCCCTTTATTGAAAAGGGAGATGGATGAGTGAAATGACAAAGTAGTACTTGTTAGGTGTTAAAGACACACTGGTGGTAAAAGTAAAGATTTTCCCTACTGTACTAGGAGGATTGAAGAGGAATAATTTTCTCGCCATGCAACTCCGTGCGTAGCCTGGGGACTGTCTCCACTGCTACGGTTGTAGGGTGGGGTTTGCAGTCCGCACTCTGGAGGTCAGCATGTCTACTCAGCCTCCCCAGGATCGAGATGGGAACAAGAGAGGCCCAAGTGGCTGGCACGAGACCAAGCTCCTCAAGCAAAGCCCAGCTCTCTCTGGCCTGTCTTTGGCGGGTGAGCTTTTATTCTGTGCGCAGCAGAGAACTTTGGAAACACCATCTTGCAGTGGTGGGATCTCTTCTCTCTCTCCTTGTAGGAATCAACGCTGAACGTGGACTTGGATTTCAAGCAGCCTTTCCTAGAGTTGAATCGAATCCTGGAAGCCCTGCACGAACACGACCTCGGTCCTGCGCTGGAGTAAGGAAGCCCTTGGGTGGGCCAGCAGCACTCTGCTCTCCGACCTCTCAGGGCACAGGGCTTGACTGCGGTCTTCAGTTCACCCAGATGTACTTGACTTGCCTCCAGCCCTGTCTCAAGAGCCTCACACAGGCTTTTGGGGCCCTCCTCTCAGGTCCTGGCTCTCAGGTCCTAGCCCCCACCAGCTCTACACTAAACTGGCCCCTTTCTTCCCAGATGGGCCGTCTCCCACAGGCAGCGCCTGCTGGAACTCAACAGCTCCCTGGAGTTCAAGCTGCACCGACTGCACTTCATCCGCCTCCTGGCAGGAGGCCCCGAGAAGCAGCTGGAGGCCCTCAGCTATGCTCGGCACTTCCAGCCCTTTGCCCAGCTGCACCAGCGGGGTGAGTGCCCAGGGGGCTGGGGTTGTGCTGCCTGGCCTGACACATGTCTGGATATGGTGGGTTACATCAGGCTCCAGTCCCTGCGCCCATGCAGATGCCTCTCCCCAACTAGAAACTTCTCTGACCCCTCATTGTGTCC